GCCGTTTGTCGTGATCCGACTCGGCGCGCACGAGGCCGTCGCGAAGCACATCGCGGGCCGGCGGACGTCGACTCGGACGCCCGCGTCGCGGACCTCGCCGCCCGCTACGTGGCCGCGGCGGCGGGCACGCACCTGGCGTTTCTGCCGCCGCAGGACACCGAGTACACCGTCGCGTCAATGGTGCGCTCAGCGATCGAGGCCGGTGAGTGGTCGCCGAGTCGGAGCACGAAGTACCTCGGCCTCGGCTGGATGGAGGACGCATCCGGCCGGCCGACGTCGGAGGACGTTTGCGCCGCTTCGGAGCAGCATGCGCGCGCCGAAATCGTCGGCCGCCTCTTCGGCCTGCAGGACGACGCCTGGGGCGTCGACGAGTACGCTCTACTTTGGTCAAAGGCCAAGACGACGTTGATCCGCAATGACCCGCTGGGGGCAAAAGGGGATTCACCGTATCATTATCCTTGGAGGTGATTGTAGGGCCCGGTATATATACCGCAACGGATCGACGGCTGCTTGTTCCTCGTCGCCTCCAAGTTCAACCACAGCTGCGAAAACAACGTCGCGTGGAACCCAAAGAGCCCGCACGACTCCCTCATTGCGACACGGCCCATCGAAGAGGGCGAGCAGGCCTTTTACTCGTATGTCGTCGGGGGCGGACCGACGCGGCAAATTGAAGGCGCGCTGGGGGGATCGAGTGCCGCTGCCAGCGCTGCCTCGCGGACCTCGAGCTTCCACAAAAGTGACCCGGCCGGAAAGACCGCCCTGCCCCGAGCGCGAGCCAAAGGCCGTCGTAACCCTTGTGACACGGTGTGCGAGTGCCGACGTCCGTGCGGCCTCGGTACCAAGAACTGTGCGGCCTCTGGGCCGTCGATCGTGCGGCCTCCGTGCCGACGAAAGTGCGGCCTCCACGCCGACGATCGTGTGGCCTTCGTGCCGGCCTGACCTAAGAAAGGCCACAACCCACCGAGGCCCACGAACCCCGTGTTGGAAGAGACCCAACGAGGCCTACAGGGCGGTCCACAAAGACCGAGGAGCTGCGCGTTGACAAGAGTGCCGTATCAACACGAGAAGGCCAGCGCCTCGTTGGCACGAGGGCGTTGGATCAGTATGGACATAATACGCGGCTCGGGCGCACTTGGCTCTTCGGTTGCGCTTAGGGCTGGCCGAGGACTTTCCTGGACTTGACCTGGAGGGCAAAGGCATTGGCAGAGGAGTCGACGGCGAACTTTATCATTTCTGCGGATTCGTGAAACGCCTTGTCCGTCGTCAAAACGTGCGTCTGGAGCTTGTGCATGCGCTTGTCCAGCTTGTCCACGACGCGCACGACGCGCGGCGAAGCCACGCGGCGTTTCGGGTCCGTGGGCGACCCTTCGACGCGGATCTTGTGGAGCGTGTCAACAAGGATTTTGGCCTACCCTTTTCGTCACGGCGGACGCATCCCGGGGCCCGCGCACCTGCTGCTTGGCCGTCCGGAGGCGCGGGCCGGGCTCGGAGAAGCGGCGGACGCGCTGGGCGTCTGCGGCGCGCTTATCTCGCCGCGCGGCGAGGGCGTGCGCGCGTTCGCCGAGGGCGGCGCCGGCGCCGCCGAGCTCGAACCATTCGTACATCTCCAAGACGGCGAGCGCGGCAACCGCGGGCGCGTCGGTGGCTCCGAGCGCGTGCTCCACCGCCAGGCGCCGCGTCGGCAGCGCCGCGCGCACCTCTCGCACGCATTTCAGCGCCTCGAGGCGCGTCCCGAACGCGCCGACGTCGAAGCCTGGACCCAAGCCGACGACTGCGTACTCTTGCCTCGGCACGCGGCAGGCCGGCGGGAACGCGAATCCTTTTCCGCGGCCCGGTTCGTGGTCCGGTAGTGTGGCTTTGCTGAATGAGATCTGCTCGAGGAGTTCGCCTCGACACAGCAGCACAAATACAATAGCCTCGCGCGTTGTTGCGCCGGGCTTCTGCCACGTCTCGGCCTGCGCCGCGCCGGCGTCACTTCGCCGGCACGGGCACGTCAGCGCACTGACGAGCTGTTTTGCCACGGCGGCCTGCGCATCGCCTTTGACAACCCGCGAAAATCGCATGAAAAGCCCCGCGACCGACGTCAACACTCACCGATTCAAACACGCCGATGGCGCGGACCCACCGCTTCTCCCCGGCGTCGTCGAAGAAGAGCTCGATTATAGCAAAGGGGCTGCGGCTCTCTCTGTCCAGCGTCCCCGCGGCCGTCGTGTCCACTGAGAACGACCACCGCCGGCGCGCCTCGCCCGGGCCGTCCTGCGGCGGGCCCGGGCCGTCCAAGCCCACGTCCTTCGTGGAGGACCAGATGAAGACGGGCGTCGTCCTACACGTCGCCTCTTGGGTGGTCCTACACGTCGCCTCCCAAGAGTAGTCCCGAGACCGGGGCGCTTCAGGGCTCACATCGAGCTCGGGGCTCCGGGCCGCTCGCGCCGATGCGGCGCGTCGACGGCCATGCGAGGCATTGCGAGCTGGGTAGCTGGCAAAATTCCGAAAATCCGAAGATTTAACCCGCGTCAATCCGAAATTTTACCCGCGTTAAATCAAACTTCCACCTCACCTCTCCCGCGTCTTGATCGCGTCCTCGTTGGGGCCGCGTCACGATTCGCGTCGCGGTGGAAGTTGAAGTAGTGTGCGGTGCAGTTTTTGACGAAGGCGCCGGTGCCGGCGTGCTTCCACCCTCCGGCGGCTAAATGCTTGATCACGCCCTTTCCGCAGTCACCCGTCAGGACCCCATCCTTCGTCGTCGTGTTTTGCGGCAAGACTTGATACTTGCCCGCGAACTCTGGGAGCACGCCGTGGATTGAAGCGTGCTGCGAGGCGAACATGCCCCCGTTGTGGCAAATGTGCACGCCGAGCCCAAAGCTCCGTGAGTCGCAGTCGAAGGTCGGACCGCCAAAGCCGCGCCAGTGCGTGGAAACAACCGCCCACTCGCGCCAGTGCGCCTCCACCATGCCTATGTCCACGGTGTCGAGCTTGACCGCGAAGAAGCCGATATTGATGGGGAATTTCCAGTTGAACGGGTCCGGCGTGAAGATAGCGCTCGAGCCTTTAGTAAAGACCGGGCACCAGTCGGCGTCGTCGAAGAACGCGTCCGAGTCGAGCCAGACGATGGATCGCGCGCCCGGGACTTCAGCGGCCTCGAGGACCGCCTTGACGCGGCCTCAGATGGGCGGCAGGCCAACCGGGGCCGATTTGAGGCTGCGCACGAGCCTCCACTGCACACAGCACTTCGACTGCGCGCACCACTCGCGCGACGCCTCGTGGAAGAGCTTCGGTTGGCGGTTATCGAACTGCAAAAGTTCAAAGCCCGTGCCCGCCGCTGCGCCCGGGCCGCCGGCGGCCACGACGTCGGGCCGCGGCGGCGGCGA